GTAACTATGAGGTCTGTCTATGTTGCCCAGGCTGGTTTCGAACACCTGGGCTCAAGTGATCCTCCTGTCTCAGCCTCCCACAGTGCTGGGATTACAGGTGTGAGCCACCGTGCCTGGCCTAATAAGTAGTTGAATGAATGACTGGATGGGTAGTGGGACTGCAGGGGGACTGCATTCTCACAGACATCTTCGGTTGCAGCTCGGATCGGATCCAACTGATGAATTCGAGAATTGGCTGGTTTGAGGTAGGTATTAACAGATCGTCCCTGAGGGCACAGGGCATGTCCTGGAACAGTCCACGCTAAAAAGAGACGTTGTCCAGGATTTGTTTCAAACAAGGGCCCTGCAGAAGCCCCGCCAACCAAGTCTCAGCTCCTGGCTTTGGCATTAGGAGCACCCACAGTGTGTCAGCCACAACTGACACACACACACACACACAGACACACACACACACACACACACACACACACACACACACACAAATACCACACTTGGGCCGGGTGCGGCGTTGGCTCACGCCTGTCATTCCAGCACTTTGGGAGACTGAGGCCGGAGGACTGCTTGAGCCCGGAAGTTTGAGACCAGCCTGGGCAATATATCAAGAGCTTGTCTGTATAAAAATCAAAAATTTGCCAGCACCTGAAGGTGATGGCCACGCACCTGAAGTCTTGGCTACTCGGGAGGCTGGGGTGGAAGGATCACCTGAGCCAGGAGGCCGAGGCTGCGGTGACCCTTGATTGTGCCACTGCACTCCAGCCTGGTGACAGACCGAGATTAAAAACAAAACAAAAAAAAAACGAAGCAAATACCACACTCACAGACACACACTTGCAGTCTCTCAGTTAGGTTTTGGTTCCAGGATAGGAAGTAAATCCCCAGACGCACAGTCCCCCCCGCCCCCGGCTGGCCTCCCCATCTTGACCTGCGGTCTGAGTGGAGATAGCCAGCTGGCTGCATGCTGTCTCCTGCTGTGCTGCTTAGGTCTTTGCATTTTGTCCTTTTTTTTTTTTTTTGAGTTGGAGTCTCACTCTGTCACCCAGACCGGAATGCC